ATAATAATAATAAACATAACAAAAACAATAGGCTTTCAAGCCTGAAGGGACTTGAAAGCCTAATAATAATAAACATAACAAAAACAATAGGCTTTCAAGCCTGAAGGGACTTGAAAGCCTAATAAACATAGCAATTACAAAAGGGTTTCGCCCCATAGGGCTCGAAACCCTAATAAAATTCCTATTACCTCCATGGCGACACCAACAACCGCTACACGCATTCACTGGATGTTTATTGCTAATCCCCCCTCAGACAATAGGCGTTTCGAGACCGGTGATAGAGGGACTGTGGTGCAAATCAATTGGTGGCGTGTCTCGTACGACTTCTTTTAGTTCCAGCGGGAGACTGAACAGCACTTTATATGCAACGTGAGGCCAATGTGAAGTGAAGCGGTTTATGTACATTTCACGATATAAGTAATATACAGCTTATCGTTGAAACTTTTAATAATTAAGTGAGGGTCGAGAACAAACCCATTCATTACACTAGACAAAAACATCAAAGTTAGACATGTTAGACCCGTTTGCCGCTGCGCATGCGCTACTTTGAATCAAAATCTGCGAGCCGCTTGCCTGTGTATAATAACATCGTTTTGGGTAGTATAACAAACAGGAACAGCAGGAACTTAAAGAACTTAACTTAAATTTTATAAATTATACGGTTTAAGAATGACATATATCAGTAGAAGTCAGTAATGACTACCTCTCATTATCATATCAACATACAAAATAGCACTCCTCTTCAATTTAGGGTAAACTATAGCCCTTAATTTACGTGGCATACTTCGAAATGTTAATTCAACACAAGGATTTAGGATATACTTACATCAATTTATTATGACCAAGATCAATCAGAATGCAAAAATGTGTTATTGTATACCACACGCCGTAGTATCAATAATGTCGAACAAAAAACAGACCACACTCTATAATAGCAATATTTATACGGCCAACATGTATCAAAATTAGTTAATTTAACAGCATTATGTTTGCTCAAAATGATTTCATCTGACGTCTATTATCGAGCAGCTGAGTTAACTGCTTCCCATAAACAGTAAACACTTAAGATAGCGACTCACGTTCGTTGCTAAATTTAAGTTTTTGTTTTTGTTTTTTTGTGATTTTCTAAACCTATATCAAATTATCCAAATAATAGTTGTAAGTTACAAAACAAAATTACGTGTAAAAGTTGAAGAAATATGATAAAAAACAAATGACATGTCTCAGGATCTATCGACTTAGTTGTACTGATTACGATTCAACTTTTCGGTTCGCGGATCACAAAAGATTACGATAAGCAATGTTTGGGAGACACTGCGTTTGGTTTGGCGCATGGGCAGACTACTCAATTTATACGGAAAAAAAACTACATCGAGGTGGTAATAAATACGTACATTTAGATTTACGGATGATGTACACAGTGTTACATTGTCGTCGATTTTTCAGATAAGTTAACTGTTTTTGTGTTTTTTCGAGACAGTACTACGCGAAGTCGAAAACGACCCAATAGAGGGCGCTGCATATTTTGTTTCTCAACCTAACCAAAGTTATCTGCAATGTGTTCCATCGGTTGGCGGTTAGCGTTACACATTAAAGAACTGTGGTCATCGCGTTGCGCACGTGCGACATTTGTGTTGACAAACATTGATTTTCCCACAATGCAATGCACTTTTCTAACGGAATCACAAGTATGAGGTTCGACCTGGGCGCGATATGCACTAATTACCACCGGTGACTACTTCGATACCTTTCAAACACGTAAAAATAACTAAATAAAGCTTGGTAACGTCTGAGTTTGTACTCGTTGAACTGCGCAACAGTCAATGTCGCCGTCTTTGTATATATGAGACCCATATATCTTGCACATGCGCAGCGCGACGACTACCGCGCTTTAAACAATGACACGCTATGGCCATCTGACGCATGCGCAGGTGACGACTCCCCCGCTTTAAGTTTCGCCCACGCGGATCGTTTCAGTGACGTAAACAACAAGTAAGGAAAACAAGTAAGCCCGTTCACACTTTTGTTATTGTTTTGATCGTCGTTACGACGATGGCCAGCCTAAAAACCGGAATCATCCACGACGGTTAGAAAGCACGCCACCAACTATTGTCATATCAAACATATACAACCGAATAAGAAATGTACTAGATAGATTGAAATAAACAAAGAATTATAGACCCAACGACTTCTTGAGCCTAACCTCTATTCAATTATGAATATTGACGAAATGTCATTACAAAATACAGCTCATTATTACTTTTCGGCTTTCGTGCCGCCCTCAATAGGTGGTTCTTTGAAACTGTGATATGTTGTTCTGGATGTTGGCCGCGGCACTAAGCCATACCATGCAGAAAACACGAATAAACTTTTACTATTTGTTTGCGATTGTATATTTAAATAGGTACATAATACTAATAAATTGTATCATTATTGTATATTGTGCATATTCACTAGGTTTATTCGCTAATTCTCCAGTGAGACGATGAGTGCTTTTGTAAAGTACTGCAACACAATGAATAATTTGTGCGAATTTGTTGTACACTTTTAATGAGTGCTATGTTCATTGTTTTATGAAGTTTGCTTCGATTGCAAAATATAATCGAACAAAGTGTGTGGTAAGTTTTCAATTGAACCTCTGTTGAGTGCCAGCATAAAATATTTTTTTTTTTAAATTATAGAGTTTGTGATGCCAGGAAATAAACATACCGTAATTTGCATAATTAATGTTATTACATTTAAATAGCCATATCACTAACTGAATTCTGTTTTAAAAGGAAAATTTTATTGAGACATGATTTCATACATGTTGTATTGGTGGATACCAGTACGTATTAACATACATTATTAATGATTATGCAAAACACACACACTAACTATGCCCTATATAATTAACCATTATAAAACATCCTCGAGGGCCCATACAGTGAACACCAGTGCAACTCGACAACTGTATATTGACACCGTGTGTCTTTTTAACTAAATAAGCTGAAATAAAGTGGTGTCTAGACAAAACACACACTGACTCGAGCTCAAAGATAGTCAGGGACAACATGTCGATGATTTTTATAAATATGGCTGACGTTCTGTAAATGCAAGAAATCAAGTCACTCTAGTCGTCTCTCCATGTTGATAAACATGCACCAGCCGTTTGACGACAGATCCTTATTGATACAATATTATACCAGATGTGTCCTTTGATATTGTTATTTCAGTAAATCACAAAAAGAAAAAAATGTTGCAAGCTGCACATGTTGAACTGTCGAGCGGAAGAGCTCCAATTTGCACAGCCTGGGCACAATATCGGTTTTAAATTAAAAAAAAGTATCTAGAAGGTGCGCCTCAATCTTGAAATATTATTTGTTAACTATGTTATCAAATATAACTGTATGTGTTTATAGATAATAAAGAAATACTTTCTAGATGAAAAGTTTCTAGAAAAGTTAATGGATGTATTTTATGTTTAGGCATGAACATTATCTCTGCTATATTCCCATAGCTCATTTTCAAGTTCTAAATGTTCACGTATCCTAGACACCCCGACAGAAATAATGGCCCAGTCCTTTAACACAATACCGCTTCCATACTTAGTTAAAAACTTAAGTACAATTAACCTGTATTGCAGTTTAATTTATAAATTATTCAAAAAACATTCTTGAATCAATCAATCAATAAATCGATCAATTGAAACGTATTCAATATCTAGTATCAACAAATAGTATTCAACTTAAAGCAAACAGAGCAAGACGTATAACAATAACAGAAAAAAATATTCAGTACTCAAATCATGGCAAATAATAATATCACTGTCACGTGATTGACATGCGTCATGTAAAGTAAACTAATCGTAACAGGTTGAGATCAGTCATACCCAGATTTAGTTTAAGATTATCCAAACTGACTTGGCTTTTGCAACGTAAGAATATGTGGTACATTACACTATACAATGATTTTGCCTTTATTAGTACTATATTGTATTCCCTCTCATCGTCCTCACGGTCTGGAACGGATGACCCCCCTCCCCTTGAACCGCGTGAGCCAGACTGTTCCCGTCCTTTTGTCTAACACCACCCCTAGCAACTAATATATACCCCTAGCAACTAACATATACCTCACACCGTGACAAAAACCTCACACAACAGTCAACAAAGCGCTATGTGAGATAATGGGAGAATCTCTTCCACCAGCTGACACAAAACACGTATAGAATCCCTCGTCTTCGTGTGTGATATGCGTAATTATTAAAGCATAGTCCCTGCCTCCGACTCGACTTCCGATCAGAATTTGATTATTATCTGCTATGATAGAGTTGTCCAAGCTCAGTATGGTCCGATCTTTCGGCCCCGTAGTCTTTACCCACGCAACCAATCCCTTCTTGTTCCCAATGGAGCATTCGAATATCGCGGTGTTGCCCACGGCAACGGTCGTGTCATGTGGTTCTTCCATGAAATAATGATGGTTCGATGTTTCTGGCTCCCTGTTCCCTAAAATAAACGTTTGGAAAAAAGGTATTGAGAAAAAAACCTAAAATACTTTGGTTTAATGTATATATATGATTTGTTCAGCCTATGATCCCAGAACCCCCTGATATGACATATTTCTGCCATAGGAACCTATGGTAAAAGCGTTATAATACTGACAAAATGGCCACTATCCACTAAATTCTTGATTGAATTATCATTTTCTCGAAAGTTAGCATGGTGACCCCAACAAGTCAATATTTTTAATATTGCCCTGGGTAAAATGTATGGAAAAAATGAATAAATTCAGGGTATGAATTTATGATGGGGCTTCTAACATAACGCCAGATGTACAGAGTTTGAGACCTGTTCAGATCCAGGCGGTATTTTGATACTTCGCGGCTACATCACACTACCGTAACGTACCCCGCAAGTGATATCATACATATCGCTAGTTGGTATCGTTCCGTACAATATCGCGGTACTGATATATGGGTATCAAAAATGACGACAATGATTCCCGGTATTGTATACTGCCACGTGTACGTGTTTGTGATATCACATCCAATGTAGACGTGACAGCATTATTGCCTGATACCCACGTATAGCAAACATATCGACAATATCAAGAGGTCAACTAGTAGACGTGAAAACAGTATTGCTTGGTGACACCGCGGTGATATCGTACTGCCAGGCAGACCGTGTTAGTGATATTGAGTGGCGATATCGTACTGCCAACTAGGTGAGTATTCAACTATGCAAGTTGACGTCGTTCTGTGTTATATCATGAACATATCGGCGATATAACCGGTGGGATCAGCAATGTCGATTGGTC